AGATAAGACCGATGCTGCGACCTCTGCAAGGATACAGTTGAGGCACCGACCACAGGGTGTGCTGGAGTGATTTCGCCAACGTGTGCCGTTGGTCACAGGGTAGACGTCCTCACATACGACGTTTGAACTGTCGTCCGCCAGTTGATTTGATTCCAATTAAACAATACAATCGAATAACTTGGTCAGTAACTGTCGCGTCTGTAGTTCGTGACTGGAATGGCCTGTCTATTGTTTTTTTTAGTTTGTGACATCTTGCCTTTAAACGAAGACAGCTCATTGTTGCTATGCGAGCTTTAGACACTCCGCAGCCTATTCGTGTATGAAGTCCCCCACATCAAATCTTTACTAAACTGATCCTCATCCGCTCCTCCGTCCAAACTCCAAACCTTGCTTCTTTGGCTAAAGAAGAATATTAACTGAGGCAGCTTGCTTCAGAAAGCTGGTATTTTCTCCATTTTAGTTGTAGTTGTAGCTGCTTCCAGTGCTTGTGTTGATGTTTTTTCTACAGCATGCATCAGCAAGATCCACGGCTTCGGTCTGTTATGTATAACAACCACACTTTCGCGAATCGGCGCTAAACTTATAACTGGGATTTTAAATCGACTGGCCACTCTTGGTAGAAAAGAAAGTTATGTTGGCGCCTTTCTTCGTTTCCTGTTCCGAGGTTTCAACAGGAGCAAGGCGAAATTAAGTCGCATGTTTGCTCGACGTCGACACCCCTGTTTTAGCACGTCCTCTAAGCCTTTTTCTAAACAATCAGAAAATAGTTAAAATTATCGCATTTTTTGAAGCATCTTTTGGCAAAAGGATTTTCACCGATTGTCTGAATTGATATTTCTTTTTCGTGACACTTCACTGCAAAGTCCGCCTGCACTGTCCTGTTTTGGATTGACAACTCCGCACACTCCCTGTCGCTGAAGGTCGCTTAATAGAATCGGTGTCAAGTTTTTCGGTTTCGAAGTTGCCTTCTCCTGACCCTTTACCTAATCAATGTCAGATCTTTGACATGTAAACAGTTCTGTCTCTGTTTCATTCATAATAATGTTTTGTGACGATTCGCCGCACGTTGTGCCTCACCCTGTTTTTCCTTTTAGTGATCACGCGTTATCGCAAACGTCGAATAATACGAACGGTGAACCTGCTAACGGGCCAAAGTGAGAGTCCTGCTGAGGCTTTGGCTGACGCATCGCTTCCACCGGATGCCAAATATTTTCCGCCCAGCACTCACTGGCATCCAAACTTGACGATCAACTTGGTGGACGATCACACCAACTGGGTCCCAGGGTCAGTGCCAGCACCCATCAACGAGTGTGAGCGCACCCTGTCTCCTCTTCTATTTCTTCCTTTTATATCGCCACTAAAACGAGCCCAGTGAAAACTTTTGTTCCAAATGTTTTCCCCGTCAGCCCTTTAGGTGACGTAGTCGGAGCAGAGATCAGATGAAAAAAAACGTCTGCGACACTTCTCAAGGTGTTTGCTTGTGGGGCTGCCTAAATAGAACACGGCAACAGGAACCACTCACAATGCATGTGGTCTTGCGCCTAATTCCAGGGAAAGTAGGTTTATGATTAAGATGAGGTTTAGAGTTAAGTTTAGGGTTGAGTTTAAAGTTGAGGTTAGAGTCACGACTATAGTAAGAATTAAGATTTGGCTTCGTGTTAACTGTAGCTTCCTATGTTTAGGGTGGGGCTAGGGTTAAGTTTAAGGTTATAGTTTAGAGTTATGTTAGCGGGTTGCCAGTTAGCCTAGCTGCTGGCTACTCGGTGCGTCCACAGGTGGCGGATAGTGGAACGACCTTTGTTGAAGGTTAGATGCGAAATAAGCAGGCTCTCGGGTCTGGCGTATAAGCAGTCGTGGACCAGCAGCGACAGCATTGCTACCAGGGCGCGGCGGGCTGAGGT